AATAAATTTGTTTATTTATTTGTGTACTTGCGCCTGAGTGAAGATGGATATCAGTGAATTTATAATAGAGAAGATGGACATAAGTGAAATTATAATAGAGAACGTAAAGAATTATGAGTTCTTGTATAATTTGGCCTCAAACGACTACCATCTTCTCCGTAAACGTTTTCGCACAAGCAGATAAGCTTTTACTATATTTTAATTATTTTAACAATTTTAATAAACTTTACAATTCTCTGATTCATTGTAGTCAACAAATGAGCAAAAAGTAAACAACTTCATCAGCTGTTTTATAATTTCGTCCGTATTGTGTTCCATACGACGAATTCACGCGGCTCATTTTGTCGCCGCGTAGGGCGAAATTCGTCGTTCGCTCCAATTGTGTTCCTAGCATAAGAGTGTTGGAAGTAGAGGGATCAACGTCATTTGTAAATTTCTTCATTCAAAACAAGACCAACACAGGCCTTTAGCCTTGTCTGTAATAAAGTCAAACTCTCTACCGTTGAAACCAGCACATTTAAGATGCCAAAATTGATCGCAAATAAAGCAAGATATTAACCATTCATTGATTTCTCTAACAGCACAATCTTTATTTGAGCAAGCCATTATGAGGGTATTAAATATCGAAAAATAGTAAAGAAGATTTATTATTAGTATTTTTTTATTTAAAATAACTAAGGAAATAGTGTAATTTTGGAAATGGTGTGTTAAGTAATTTACTGTAACTGCCTAAAAGTATGCTAAGAAAAGCTAGGTAAGAAAGAGATTAGTGGGGTAAAAGGCAGGCCCAGACGCCAAGCTCATTTGTACAAAAAAGGTTGTGCAGATATCAGCATATCCTGGGCTTTTGAGGAAAATGACGAAACATTAGAGCATTTTCTCTGCCAATGCCCAGCATTTTCAAATAGGGAACGACTCCATACCAAACCTTAATTCAATCGTGGTAAATAGTAAATAAGTAAGTTGTAGAGCCTGTTTTCGTTATCTGCACAACCACTTTTTTTCAAAAAGGAACATTTCATATTTTAATACTTGTTTACCCATATCTGTATCTATAAAGCAGGAAAATGTTTGTATGCTTGTTGTTTGTAATTTATGGACTCGAAAACCGCTGAACAGATTTTCCTGAAAATTTCCAAGTATGCTACAACATCGCTTAAAAGTAACATAGGCTACATACATTTTTGGAATTCCACTTGGAACTGGAAATATAGCATTAGAAACGGAGGTACTTCTCAAAAATGTAGGTTTTATATGCACATATCTATTGATCGATTACAGACACAGTCTCCAAATTTGGAATGCGCAACGGAATTTTAAACAAAAATAAATTTGCCAAATTATATTGAAATCGGTACAGATATGAATTTAGCTCTAACATATATTTTCCGCCAATTTCATTTACATATATATTTTTTTTCGTTGTTGCAGAATGGTCAGGCTTTATCCCTTTATTGTTGTTTTTATAAAACAACGTTTGTTTATTAGTGGAGAACGATGGTAATGTTTACCAGGGGGTAAGGTAGGGAATACCTAGGTTTCGGAAAGAGCCACCAATCCTCATCAGTTCCCTTGTTTTTTGTCTGGGATATTCTCCCCAGAAGTTATTTTAAAAATAACTTCTATGACAAAAAACATTTTTTTTACCCAAGTGACGAGATCGTAAGCTCAATAGAAGAGGAACCAAAGAATTAAATAAAACTAAAATTCTTTTGGAAAGTCTTTTTGGAAAGTGTTTTTTGTCATATAAGTTATTTTTAAAATAACTTCTGTGGAGAATATCCCAGACAAAAAACAAGCGGAGAGAGAAGCCTAAAATTGTAGCACATATCGGTATATTGTTAATAGGAAAGTCAAGTTCGTATAAGGCCCATGCCAGTAAATATTTTCGTATTATCCGCACATTACGGTACAGATGAAGCCACATTTACAACAGATTTATTAAAAATTCCGTATTTATAGTTTGTAATTGGAATTGGCCCCGGTGCCCAGTGGTTCGGAATCGTTTTGCCATGGTTAAAATTCAGTAACCTTTAAACGAATGCAGATACATGCATATTTTTCTTCGACATGTAATACAATCTGCTTTTCACTAATTAAAAACGGATCAAATTAGTTGCTAAGAAATTCAAGGTCAAAATTCAACTTTTGAGTGTTTTTAGTAGTTGACATGAGCTTTGTATCTATACGTCCACGATTTCATATAGCGTCAAGGTAGTCCGTACTTTTATGATTTTATCCTCATAATAGAGACCACCCATATACCGGAATTTTATCTAAACGAGTTTGCTGTCATTTGCGGAATGAAATGAAATTCGTGTGAATATTGTATCATAATTTCATGAAGTGAACATCTTAAAAAGGTAAATTACAGAATATGTAGAGATAGTAATTATTATTTAAACTGAGGTTACCTCTAATTGCACCATGGAATTTATTAATGTACATTTTGAAAATGAAATAAAGTAAAAAAAGATGTAAATTCGGCCGGTCCGAACTTTGAATACCCTCCACCACTGAAACAAATTTGGCAATTTAAAAAAAAAAAAAATAAATAAATAAATAAAATCCGTTAAAAATATTGTTAAATTCTTAAAAATACCGAATGTAGCCGTTATATTGGGGTCTATACGACGGCGTGGACCTGCATAGACCACTTTTTTCATAAACCATTATAATATTCAAATGCGAAACTTGAAAAAAATTCGATGAATAATGTGAATAAAATCATCAAAATTCCGAATATAGGGAGGTACCATTATGTGGTGGCTATACCAAAACGTGGACTTGCACATACAATTTTCTTTCATAGGCTGTAGTATCCGTTGCGAAATTCAAATACCAAATTTGAATCAATTGCGGTGAATAATGTCGCTAAAATCATCAAAATACCGAATATCGGGAGGTGCCGTTATATGGGGCTATACGAAACCGTGGACCTGCACGAACAATTTTCTGTCATAGGCTGTAGTATCTATTACGAACTTCAAATACCAAATTTGAAACATTTCCGGTGAATAATGTCGCATAAAACCAAATACCGAGTATAGAGAGGTACCGTTATATGGGGGATATACCCAAAACGTGGATCTACGTGGCCCATTTTCAATACCAAAAGTCCTGCAGACATAATATACATTTGAGTAAAATTTTATCAACCTACTTCATTTCGTTCGGAAGCTAGAGTGATTTCTACAGATGGACAGAGGGACGGACATCGCTAAATCGACACAGAATTTTATGCTGATCAAGAATATATATATATATATTGTGGGCTCTAAAAGGTATATTTCGAGGTGTTACAAACGGAATGACAAACTTAATGTAACTTCCATACTATGGCGGAGGGTATAAAAAACGTAATTATATGATTGCACAAAGTCATCTTCTGAATTCTACCATCTACCTTTTCTACTCTTCGTTGATGCTCTTCTGGGCATTTTGAAATTTAATTTTTTTTTTTTGGTGCATTATATTATCAATTAGAGTATGTTAGCCTATTTCCTTGACAGGGAGGGAAAGTTTACCGAAAGGAAAAGTGGATTTTATAGCAAAGAATGACGTTAAATAAGGTAAATATCACGTTTTCCTCAGCCCCTTCTCCCACAGTCATTTAATAAGGTCACACTGAAGGCGAATTCTCCAGCTGTCATATATTTGTTTGTGATAAATCCACCAAAAAGGGTATAAATAAATTAACTTGATCATGGGATATGTAAATTTTGGATTTGTTTATATTTTTTGAACTAAAACCGTGTCAACTATCCCTCTTCCAAAACGCAGTTTTCTTTCCTGGCCAATTTCATCTAAATTAAGAAAGAGGTCACAATATGTATGTACAGCTGCAAATTTACCACACAATACTTAGAACTTAGGGTTCAATTTCTATCAGCAACAAGTAAAAAAACATTAAGTTCGGCCGGGCTGAACTTTAATAGGGTAAAGGAAACATGTTTATATAAAAGTATCTGATTTCAAACGTGTTTCACTTTAAACGTTATAGTCTGGTTCTCAGAGGAAATATGTCCATTTGATTTGGTTCCACTATTTGGCATATCCCCACATTTCCAAACGATTGGGCTGTTGTTTGGCAGCATCTGATGGTAATTCGCCTTTAGATTTTTGTAATAGGGGCCAGCGTTTTGTCATAACGCCATCGTTTCGTTATTTTTCCAGTTTGACTGGTTGTAATTTTATACTTGAAATCTCATCTGGTTGTGAACATTCCCGCAAAATATTTGTTTATGGGGATTCAGGTTCTGGAACGAGTTTTAAAGGTCCTAACCACATTTTCCAACTAAAGTTTAATAGGTTCTCACCTTTCGCATAAATCAAAAATTAAAAGAATTTTATAGACAATCGAATAGTCGGATTTCATACTATTTTTATTCAACTATAGTCCTTTGTCAAGGTCTTTAATTTATATTGCTAAGACTCCGCGTGCCTGCTTCGTTCTGCACTGAAAATGTTTTACATAGTCCCATTGTTTGGGAGTTCCAAGGGGAATTGTATGTATATAGCCTATGCTACTTTCAGGCGTTGTTTTAGCATACTTGGAAATCTCATGAAAATGTGTGCAGCGGTTTTCGAGTCCATAAATTACAAACACACATACAATGTTCCTCTTTTATAGATATAGATTTTTAATTATTTTATTTTTTGTAAATTCCTTCAGTACTTGTAACACACGGACGTATATCTGAATTTTGTGTTTACATATGAATGTTGATGCGGATTTTAAACTTGGACATATTTTCTTGTCTTATGGTTGTCATTCCGGTTATTCGTTTATTTTATTTATTAATTTAATTTTATTCATTGTTTTCTTTGTTGGATATTATTAGTTATTCTTATATTTCAATGTGGCAGGACTAGAGAAAAATCTAATTTATAAGTAGTATTTTCTTAATAATGTTTAAGCTATAACTCTTAGTATGTATTTTATTGTTCTCAATCGATATTTTCTTTCACACATCTTGACAAATTATATAATATGTAACCTTTAGCGACACGACACAATACCGCAACAACAATCAATAGTTTAAGGACTTGTAAAATGCTACTTTTCATTTTTTTTTTTTTGTTTTTTCTTCTGAATTTTTTGTTAAAGTTTATTAGATACGATAGCTTCAGATCAAGCGTTTAAACTTCTTTGGAAATTGTTAACACTTTGAATGTTAGTAAACAACTGAAAAAAAGCTCAGAGTCATAGAATAGATCTGTGATTGAGACGCTAAATTCGGACTCTGAGGAGAGTTAGAAGCAACGATTCTGACAAAGCTGTTGATTTACGCGTCTTTTTTTTTGTTGCGAATGCTGGAGGTGTTCGTCATTGTTATTGTTGTTGTTGAATCACCTGCAGTTAATTTCAAATTAAATTGTTAACGTCGTTTTGGTCTATCTTGATAGCATCTTCATGGTGGTAACTTACCAGAAGCACCACACAGCGAACTACCTGTGTACATTTAAAGTTCTTAAACAAATATATGTGTATAACATGTAGCGAAACACAGTAGCTATTGTTCCGAACTAAGTTTGAATTAAGAATAAAAATTTGCAGAAATTATTTCGAATTCAGAAATTAAATTATGAAGTAGGAACACATTAAAATATACAAGCAAATACAGTGATATAATTATCTTTTCAAAATATAATTGAAATATATTTAATTCTATAATTGCCTAAGGGTGTTTTTTAAATGGGTCATGCAATGTAGTTCCATAATTATACCCTACCAAATAATGATTAATTGTAGATGCTTCGCCGTACCAGAGCCGGCCAGACAGACGGACACAGCTTGATCGACTGCATGTGTTCTGAAAATGAATTCTTCCAAAGAGACTTTCCGAGTCTGAACCCGTTATTTCGATGAGGCATATTTTGGCCGTGTGGTATGAGACGGGGGTTTAAAAATCGGCCACGAGACTTCAAAGGAATTAAAGGAAAAACGAGGTCTCCCTCATCAAGATTTTTATGAAAACAAGTAGTAAAGGAGAGAAGTTCGACAGGTCTGAATTTATAAACCGTCCACCATGAAGAAATTAAATAGTGGAAAATATGTCCGTATGCATCAGTGTAAATTTTTTACAAGACATTTTTCGATTGCTAAAAATCCTGAGTGTTAATGCGGTCATAATATATCTTTAACCGATCGCAGCGAAATTAAGCGATACCACAAATATGTTAGCGTTTTATTTGGATAGCGTAGTTATAGTCAGGCTTAATCCCATTATTTCTGTTTCCATCAAAAAACAACCTTTGTTTACAAGGGGCTAAGGTAGTTCCCAGTCAGCATTTTTTGAAATTTTTAATCACATTCGAGTCTGTTTTGATCCGCTTGCGCGATTAAAAAGCTGGAATATGAGCTCATGTTCTGGTCATAAAAGACTCAGTTTTCGGGAGAAAAACGTGACCTCCCGCGACTCTTCTAAATAAATCACATATGAGTCTTCTTCTAGATTAGTTAAGAGTCTGATCGTTCCATTTTCTGATCGTTCTACGAGTCTTTTTCGAGTCGTTTTCTAATCATTTATTGCGCTAAAACGCTTAATTTGTGAATCTTTTTCGAGTCTTTTTTGAGTCATTTTTTGATCATTTATGAGTCTTAAGTGAGTAATTTATTAGTCTTTTAAGTGTCATATATCACTCATATGTATATTCATTTAGGAGTCTTTTTTGAGTCCCCTTTGTCTTAAATTCGAGTCATTTATGACTCTTATATGAGTGTTTACGAATCACGTACGTGATTTCTAAATATTCGGATGTACCGTAAAAAAAGAATTTGTTTATATATGTTCATATAAAAATTTATTTAAAGTAAAAATAATTCAGATTTTATGATTATAATTTGTACTGTAATATCAATAAATGCAATTGTAAAAAACTTAAAATTTAAATAAGAAAATGAAAAAAAAAAAAATGATAAACATTAAAAAAAAACAGTTAAAACCAGTAAAGAAAGTCTTAAAGTCGGGCGGGGCCGACTTTATGATACCCTACACCACTTTGCTAATTAAGTAGAGCTCCACATAACAATTAAAAGTTTTTATGGGAGAATTCAATCATACACGCTATGATTATAATTATAATTTAAAGTTCAAAGGACTAAATATGCCAAAGCATTTGTATCTATTAAATTCGGAATTGTATTGCCCATTTGGTGCACAATTAATTTGAAATCGGATAAAGATATATATGGGAGCTATATCCAAATCTGAACCGATCTCGATAAAATTTGGCACAGATATTTCTGAGCTGTTTTTGATATATTTCCCTGAATATCGTTGTTACGGAGTGCATATTATGGTTGTGGCAAATATAACAAATCGGATGAATAATATATATGGAAGCTATAGCTATATCTGAACCGATCTTCACCAAATTTGACATACTAGCTTCTAGACTCAATTCGGTCGTAAGTGCCAAATTCCATCCCATTTGGACAAATATTAGACGTTTGGTGTACAATAAAACGTAAATCGGACGAAGTTATATATGGGAGCTATATCCAAATCTGAACCGATCTCGATAAAATTTAGCAAATGTATTTCTGAGCTGTATTTGATATATTTCCCCAAATATTGTTGTTGCATAGTGCATATTACGGCGGCGGTGGACAAAAATAACAAATCGGATGAACAATATATATGGGAGCTATAGCTATATCTGAACCGATTTCGATCAAATTTGGCATACATATTTTCAGGCCTAGTTTGGGTGTATATGCTAAATTTCATACAATTCGGGCTGATATTACACGTCTGGTGCCCAATAAAAAGCGAATCGGACGAAGATATATATGGGAGCTATATCTAAATTTTGACCGATTATCTCCAATTTCAATAGGGTTCGTCCTTGGGCCAAACAAAAGATCTTTGCAAAATTTCATCTGGATCGGACAATAAATGCGACCTGTACTTTGTTTACAAAAATACATGGACAGACGGACGGACGGACGGACAGACGGACGGACGGACATGCATAAATCGACTCAGAATGTGATTCTATGCAGATCATCAAAAGGAACTATGGGTCTATCTCGTTTCCTTCTGCCTGTTACAAACAAATGCACAAAGACATAATACCCTGACCACCTTGTGGTGTAGGGTATAAAAATAAAATAAAAAATCAGAAAAACAAAAAATCAGGAACTGGAATCGGGCCGTTTTCTTTTTGTAACGCGGTCTCTTGCATGAACAAAATGTTTTTGTAGGATTGTGTTCATATCCTTGTCGTTGCTTGAGAATTTAAGATGACAAATATCTGAAATAAAATATGTACAAGTTTATCCATTTTACTAATTCTTTATATACGTGTTACAAAGACAAAATTACTTCTTTTTTGCTATCGTATTTTAGCCTTTTCTATTTTTGTAATTTAACTTGCTGACATTTTCTTTATAAAAATTAATAAATAAACAAAGAGATAAACGTGCACTTTTTCATTTTTTTCACTCTTCAATATTATACACTTTTGCCACGTACTTTTTATAAATGAACAATAATTCAACTTTTCGATAGTCAGTCCAGAAACAAAATGACCTTTGTATAACAAAACAAGCAGCATTTATGCACTCATCTGTGCAAAATATGATTAAAAAATACATAACTTTGATCACTTTTCAAACAGCTGCAAGATCTTTTTAAGACTAATCATTTTTTAATCTCTAGATGATCGCAATATGATAATAAATAAAAGAAAAATAGTCACATTTTGCACATTTCAATGATTGATTTGCGATTCCCCTACATTTTGTTGTTGTATATTAAATGGATCTATATTCACTCATTAGAGAGAATCATTTTCGAGTCGCTTATCAATCATACAAGTCAGTTAATCATTTTTTGGTCACCAAAAGGACTCGAAGAAGACTCACCAAAGTGGTTTTTTCAAAAACAATCTTCCAAATGCTAGCTGGGTTAATACCATGGTTTCCGAAAGAGACGCCAATTCTAATCGTTGCTTATTTCTCCTCTAATAAATGAAAGTTATTTTATAAAAACAACAGTAATGGGATTTAGCCTGACTATTTGCATCAGCAAAATTAAGCAATACCTTTTAAATACGTAAAATGGGAGATTTTCAAAGAGAGATGTGATGGGTGGATTGACTAGAAAAACATATGATTTACTTTTGTGTCGATATTTTCTCCTCGGAAATTGGAAATTTATGTTGTAGTCACGAAAATTTCTCAAAATTCCACAGCTGGTCTCCAAAGTGAAGAGTCTCCAGTCGATAGAATTATGTAGGTAGGGGAAGTCGGAAAATTAGATCCGCAACTCCGGGATAAGGATTGGCTCTGTAAATTAAGATAGTCTGGCATAATTGAAAAACAATAACATGCAGAGGTCTCCAGATTTTGTTCCTCGTTACTATGTGATCAATTGTGTAACATTATTGTTATTTTTGGGTTGCGTCGCAAGGTGTTTACTTTTAAAATTATAACAAAAACAAAAATCAGACCTGGCATGGAAATGGAACTCTTTGGAGGACTACAACTTTCTAAGAGAGTTGTGGGCAATTCTAAAGGTCACTGGTCGATGCATCGTATTCGTGGTTGAGGCTGTCAAGGCGAGAATCATATACAACCCATGACTTCATGTTACTATAACGAGTGTTGTTTGGAATCCAACTGGTAGTAGCGATGCTACGTAGCCTGACAGAAGGATAAAATCTCACATCGTTGGTCCCAGGTGCCCCTGGGTCTTGGGATCTAGCCTGTCAGTTGGGGCAGGTCCCCTACTACACTTTGATACCCCAAGGTAGGTGCTCACATTAAACGCACACAGGTTACTATAACTACAGATTTAGATAGAACAGGAGGGGCGGGTCCTCTAAAACGATCGGACTTAGTTAGCTTTTTAAGTAGTTTTGATCGAGAAATTTTCTGTAGAAATACCTGATTTAGTGGTGGAGCTTCCCACAAATAGTCTACGGCGGACCATGGACTGTTTGGTTAGATGGTCCTTTGAAGTTATACTGTTGTCCCACTTGGGGATGTTGTGTAGGCTATCCGTGAGGGTAATTGTTTATACCCTACGCCACTCTGTGGTACACGATAGAAAATAAAACAAATTCAAAAATTCTACCAACGCGTGAACATGACATGAACAGCTGGCCATGAGAAAAGCGGGAACATGCCATGTTTGTCCTTCGGATTTATTAATTTCATTGTGTTGAAGTTGAGTGGCATTTCTG